CTTTCTTTCTTTCTTTCTTTCTTTCTTTCTTTCTTTCTTTCTTTCTTCCTTTTTCTTTCTTTCCCCTTTCTCTTTCTTTTCTTTCTTGCCTCTTCCTTCTCTCTCTCTTTCCCCCTATCTTTCTCTCTTTCCCTCTCCCTCTCTTTCTCTTTCCCCCTCTCTTTTTGTCTCTCTCCCTCTTTTTCTCTCTTTCCCCTCTCTCTTTCCCTATCTCTGCCTCTCTCTTTCCCTCTCTCTTTCTCTCCCTCCCTCCCCCTCCCTCTCTTTCCCTCTTCCTCTTTCCCCCTCTCTTTATCCCTTCCTTCCTCCTGACCTTTCTCTTCTCCTAAAGCTAGGAGACTCACCTGAAACAAACAAATAAAAAACAAACAAACAAACACACACACACACACACACACATTTCCAACAAAGTACTCACCCAGAAACGTCACTCGTGAGAAGTCTCCCAGAGTCCCAGGGACTGGGCTCAATTGTCCATTCATGCCAGGTCCTGCATTGCCCAGAAAAGCTGGCAGGCAAGGCTTCTGGGTCCAACAAAGGGGCCATGGGCAGGATTTCCTCCCCTCCCTCTTTTGGGTAAAGGAAAGAGCCCAGCTGGGAACTTCAAGCAAGGCATGCGCTGCAGCCTCACCCATCCCAGAAGCTGCAGGAGAGGTGAACTGCAGGAAAGGTGAGACAGCCCACCCTGGCTGGATCACCTTTCCCTCTGCCACCAGCTGCAGGAGGAAGGTAAGTTTACAGGCAGTTGACAAAAGCCCAAACCGCTCCCTAGCCCAGAGTTGCTGGTGGGGTGGGTGAGGCAGCCTCTCAACTGCCTGAAAATGTACCTTCCTCCTGCGGCTGGTGGCAGAGGAAAAGGTAAGCCAGCCAGGGCAGAGCTGTCACCACTCAGCTCCCCGCCAGCCTGCATCTCATCCCCTGCTTGAATTCTCCACAGCTGCTGAGGCTCGCGGCTTCTGGGTGTGTGTGTAGGAGGCAACCAGGAAGCACAAGGCTTATACTGCCCGCATCGCCCCTCTGCCAGCTGCCCCTCCTTCGAGCCGAATGTTTTAGCAGAGTGCGAGCCACTGCTGTGCAAGCTCCTTGGGCTGAAAGATCTGCTCTCGTGAGGCTTGACTCATACCATTCTCACAGCAGTAGCTCTATTCAGCGAAAGCGCACAGGCTGGTGGGCAGCAGAGGCAAGTGGTGATGTGGGTGGCATAGCATCATGCTCCCTGGTCGGCCCCCCAGCCCTGCCTCTATCAGGCAAGGCCCAGCAGCTGCAGAGAATCCAGGTGGGATCCAAGCAGCGATGGGTCAGCCCTGGCTCTCCTTCCTCTTGGCCACCAGCAAGCCAGGCAAGTGGGATGGGGTGGGAAGCTTGCTAGGCCACGAGTGCTGCATGGAGCCATGGCACTGGTGGCTATGCAAGCCAGGCAAGTGGGGTGGGGGGAAAGTTTGCTCGGCCATGAGTGGTGCATGGAGCTGCAGCACTGGTTTCTAAGCAAGCCAGGCAAGTGTGGGGGGAAGCTTGCTAGGATGCGAGTGCTGAGGGCAGAGGTGGCATGACGGTGGCGGCCTAGGCCAGCTTGGGAGTCAGGATTCAACTGGTGCTTGTGGCAGCAGTGGAGGCAAGGGTGATGGCAGCAGTGCGGTGTTGGTGGCCTCGGCTGGCCCAGGAGTTGGGACTCAATTGGCGGCGGCAGCGGCATGTAGGAAACTAGGGCTTGCATCGCCTCACTCACCTAGGGAGATAAGATGGTGGAAAGCAGGCGGCGATGGCTGGCTGGCTGGCTGGTGTTGCTGCTGGAAGCAATGATTGTGGGTGGGAAAATGTGGGAAGCGATGTAGCACACATGCACTATAAGGACTGACAGGGTGGGGTGGGTGGGGAGAGAATGCCGTCAGCATGATGTCACGCATGCACAATAAGAACTGACTGGGCAGGGAATGTAGAAGTGGGCAGAGAGGGGCAGGGCCAGCCAGGGGCCTGTTTTACTGGTTCTCCGAACTACCGGGAATCATAACAACCAGTTCTATTGAACCGGTGAGAACCACTAGAATCCCATCGCTGTATGAATCCCCTTATCTTAATGCCTTTACTTAAATGTTTCTGTTGTCAGCTCTGTTATTTTTGTAACAGCCATTAGCAGGGCTGCTCTGAGTTTTTCCTTTCAGCTGATGCTTCTTGGTTTTCTTAAAGGGGGAAGGGCTGGCTTGAGTCTTTTGACACTGTTTTCTGAGGTTTCTGGTGCTCTGAGGTTTCTGGCACTGTCCTTTTAGGGTATACTTCCCATAAAGACATGCACACCAACACTTCACAGAAATATAAGCTTAATGTGACCCTTGGAGATTAAAGAATTGTGTGAAATAATGAAATATAAAGATCATAGGCCTTTGGGATAATTAAGGTGAATTCAGTTGGAAGATAATGTTCTCATGTGGTAGCTAGATCTAGGACATCAGAAAAGCAACATTTCACTTAATTGGACATAGCAGCAGTCAATATTCCCAAACATCATTTGCTCAAGATAGGACAAAGAAGTAAGGAGAATGTAAGAACATCCATGCAGAGACCCAAATAATCTCTTTACAAGCTCTATCCTCACAATGATCTCTGAACATCTCCTGAAACCCACAATCTTATACAAGCAATTAATAGGTAGCTAGGCTTTGCCAGTTTAATTGTGTTTATTTAATGTGGAGAAATCAGAGCTTAAAAGGAGAAAATGAGTACACAAGGTATACAAGGGAGGAAACACAGAATCAAGGTAAAAAGAAATGATTGGGGCATTCAGGGAGTGGACAGGTATTCCAGTTTATTTAGAAACAATTCTGGACATTTTATCTCTTTTTAATCTCATGCTTTCAACGCAGAGTTTTTTAAAAACCAACAATTTGTCTGAGAAATTACTGATGTATGGTAGCCACAGTTATATTCTTTTAAAAGTAGCTTTCTGCCTCCTAGTTTTGCAAAGTTATGAATTTGTACTAAGAACTGCTTCTGCCGCAATTGCTGCTGACAGATAAATGGCATCTTCCAGATGGCCACTAGATGGAGGCATAACCTAAGATATCCCAAAGGTGCTTTTCAAAAGGCAACTGGACTTTGTTGTTTTCAGTTCAGAAAAAGCTTCTTGGATGGGAAGTGAAAAGTTTTCAAAGAAAAAAACGAAGTCCAGTTCCTTTTGAAAGGCACTTTTGGGACAGCCATGACTTGGATGACTGAGAATCTCCATAGCCATAACCAAAAATGTACCTATAGAAGATGTATTTTGTGACAAAATTTCTGGGTAAAAGGAAAGAGGAAGCCCTACTTATTCCTACTATCTCTATATGGTAATCCCAGAGAATAACCAATAGGAAACAGATAAAGTGCTACAATTCTTGTACCAATTAATAAAATGGACTTAACACATTAAGCTTTTAACTTATAAAATATTCAGTAATTGCTGGCAATACTGGCAGCAGGTGGCAGCAGTTAATTGATTTTCACTGATTTGAAAGGATGAGCATGATCAGACCAGAGCACTGTTTGGATGAGAATTCCAGACTGGTTGATTGAACTGGGAAGTGGAAAAAATATCCTGGAAAAAGACAAGGGCAAATCACTTCCATGGTGTTGCTCAGAAAGTTATGTAAATGCAAACACTGGAATCTGAGCTTGCCTTAAGGTGTCTTGAAGATCAGCAATGAATTGTTATGGAGTCAGGTGAAACAGTGCAGTACATATAGTCCTTGATTTACAACCATTCATTTAGTGACCATTTGAAGTTACATTGAAAAAAATCACATGACCAGTTTTCACACATATGACCTTTGCAGCTTCCCCATAGGCAGGTGATCATTTGGGCGCTTAACACTTAGTGTGCATTTATGACAGTAACACTGTCCTGAGGACATGTAGTCCCATTTGTAACCTTCTCAACTGGCTTCCGACAAGGAAAGTCAATGGGAAAGCAAGGCATTCGACAAAGTAGACCACAACCTATTTCTTAGTAAGCTAGAAAAAAGTGGAATAGATAGCACCACCATTAGATGGACTCACAACTGGCTGACAAACCATATTCAATGAGTAGTCCTTAATGGGTCTAAGTCTACCTGCAGGGAAGTAGGTAGTGGGGTGCCACAAGGCTCTGTCTTAGGCCCAGTACTTCAGCTTCATTAATGACATACATGAGGGAATAGATGGGGAACTCACCAAATTTGCAGATGATATTAAGCTGGCAGGAATAGCTAACACCCAAGAAGATAGGCTCAAGCTCCAGATGTATCTTGACAGACTAGAACACTGGGCCATATCTAACAAAATGAAATTCAATGTAGAGAAAAGTAAAGTCCTACACTTAGGCAATAAAAACTAAAAGTACCCATATAGACTGGGTAAAACCAGGCTCAATAGCAGTAACTGTGAGAGGGATCTTGGAGTCTTAGTGACAACCAGCTAAATATGAGCCAGCAGTGTGCAGCAACAGCCAAAAAAGCTAATGCAATCCTAAATTGCATTAACAGAGGGATACAATCGAGATCAAGTGAGGTACTAATACCACTCTATAAAGCCTTAGTAAGACCACACCTAGAGTACTGCATCCAGTTTTGTTCACCACATTATAAAAAAGATGTTGAGACTCTACAAAAAGTACAGAGAAGAGCAACCAGGAAGATTAGGGGACTGGAGACTAAGGCATATGAAGAACGGTTACAGGAACTGGGCTTGGCTAGTCTAGTGAAGAGAAGGACCAGGGGAGACATGATAGCAGTCTTCCAATATTTGAGGGGCTCCCACAGAGAGGAGGGGGTCAAGCTACTTTCTAAAGCGCCTGTAGGCCAGACAAGGAATCATGGATGGAAACTGAACAAAGAGAGATTTAACCAGGAAATAAGGAGAAACTTTCTGACAGTGAGAAAAATCAACCAATGGAACAACACCTCACCTCACCTTATGGGAGTGTCATCACTTGAGACTTTCAAGAAGAGATTGGACTGCCATTTGTCAGAAATGGTGTAGGGTCTCCTGCTTGGATGGAGGGGTAGACTAGATGAACTACTAGGTCCCTTCCAACTCTGATTATCTGTTATCTGTTATCAGATTCACTTAACAAGCACATGATTCACTTAACAACTGCAATGATTCGCTTAAGAACTGTGGCAATAAAGATCTTAAAATGGGGCGCAACTCACTTAACAACTCTCTTGCTTAGCAACAGAATTTTTGGGTGCCATGGTGGTCATAAGTCAAGGTTTACCTGTAGCGTTGGAAGGAATATAAGCTCACAACATAGGTACCCTGGGCAAATTACCTTGTTGGAGCTGTTTCAGAGAGGACATAATTTATTTTATTATAATTACATTTCCACAAGGCTTGTGGGGTGAGATCCATTTTGGGGTAGTGATTAAGGCATGAGGCAAGAAACTTTGAGGCCATGCCTCACCCTCTGATAATTTGATTTTATTATAGTCTTCTTTTTTGTTTTATGGTGGTCATTAAAATTCAGCCCAGCCTACCCAGTGTGAAGAGGAAACATTGGGCCAGCAGTTTTGAGAGTTAATGAAAGAATGAATGAAAGCCATTCCAATCCAAACCAATTCAATCCAAACCAATCCAATAAAAGCTAAGCCAAGCCAAAATTTCAAGCCTTAGCATTATTTCAATTTAAAAAGTGAAATGATAGCATGTGGGTAATTTTATAGAAGGGCATTTCTTTAACTATGACCATAGCTGCATAACTCTGACTGACTGAAAAGGCTAGTTAGAGTTGACTTTGATTAGTACTTGGATGGTAGACTGGACCTTGATGTATACACAAAAAATTGTAGATGAGATGGAAAACTATGTGGATGTGTCCTTCTAAAAAACCTTCTTGGCCTGGAATTGTGGATTGCCAGCTGAGGGAAGTATCTCTATCTACCACCTTGGATGTCTTCAAGATATAGCCAATGACCTGAGATTATGACTTGCTGTTGCTTTATCTTTCTTTACAAGAATCAAATTGCTATCTATCAAACTCCAAAATATTTATGCATTGAAGTAAAATTTGGCAAATATTCCTTGAAATAAAGCAAAATGAGCATTGCAGATATTGTGCAACTTCTGTAAGAGGGAGCTTGGAGCAGTATATCATTTGCCTATGTGAATGTGTCCGTCTGTTTGTATGTCATATCTCCTTGCCTACATTTCAGTGTGGAAGGTCTTTCCTGCTCTCCAACCACACAGTTTGCAATAAAGGCACACAGTCTCTTTCTTCCCCAGTAGTTAAACTAGTGGTATTAACTAAGACCCCACAATGAAACATAAAAGACCCAGCCTATGCTTTAGAATCTATTACAATTATTTTTTCAAACTAAATATCATGGGATAGTACTTAGAAAAAGAATGCCTTTGTCTGACCACTCAGTATCAGTATAGGCTGGGTCTTTTTAAAAGAATGGAAGATGTAGCAAGACAAAATCTGCATGAGAGAGATCTCTTCCTGAACCATTCTGTTTGTTAAGTGGATTGACCAGCAGACGTATGCTCAGTAGTGTATTAACTATTAAGCAGACTAAGCACGTTGTTAGGAATATAAGTCACCTAACAGGTATTTGGGTTGGAAATATATAAACCAGGATAAACATTTTAATACTGTATCTTTAAGAAAACACAAAAATGTAATTGGGTGTGGTTTCTGAAACAACCATAAGATGGAGCCAGAAACCTGGGTTGTTTAGTCTTGGTCTCAGAAGAAGTCTCAGTGAGTCTCTGTTTCCTTCTGTTGGAGAGTTTTGCCATTCCTTCTAATTGACTGTTATTCATGGATTTGATGTAAGTCTGATACTGAACTGTTTTTGACACTGGACTTTGTTATTGGATTATCCCTGGATTAAAAACTGACTGATTTTACTTGTGAATGAGTTTGGACTGTGTTTGAACTTTGCTTAAACCTTTCTTGAAGTAAAATCCTACATTTACTGTACAGTGTATCTGTGTGCTGTGTGTGTATTATTCAAACACTTCTCTCAAATACATCTCCCTGTATGAGCTCATTCTCCTAATGGGGAATGACCTCAACACTGGTTAGGGGCCCAGGCCATACCAGGCTCAGATAACTGAGAGTTGGTGTGAATACACAGTACTGTATACAGACAGCTGCTTACTGTTTAATTGTGGGTTACTATCCTGATAAAGATGGCACAAGTCAATTCAAAAAGTCTATCACTGATAACCCAGTTGGATGGAACAAACTCTGTTCTCCTGGTCTATGAAGTGCAGTCTACTTCTGTGAAGAGAAGGTTTATGAAATGTAGTTCAAGACCCACCGGATGTAAATGCTTGGGATCCAACTAATGAGGATGATGCCAAGAAGATTGCTTTACTTTAAATAGAACAACGAATGAGCTCTTTGTATAATTGGACTAACACTGAGTGACCAGCAGCTAGCCCATATTTGTGGAGAAGAGTCTGCTGCTAGATGTTGGGAGAATTTGAAGAGGATTTATGTTCATGACAGTGTAGGTGCACACATACATCTTACACGTAAACTATTTAGAGCACATCTTCTTAAAGGTGGAGATATGTTAGCTCATTTAAACTTCATGAAAAGAACTTTTCAAGAGCTACATGAAAAAGAACTGATATTTTCAGAGCTGCATCAAGTTTACATCATTCTTTCCTCATTGGATGAAAGTTATGATGATTATGTATCTTCATTGGAAGTCCTGCCCAGAGATAAACTGACATTGACTGACATAACTGGAAGATTGCTAAAAGAAGCAAGAAGACGGCTGGATAGGGATCAACTGAGGAAGGAACAACCACAAGAAGAGAATTTATCTTCAACTGCCTATACTGTTCGGAAATGTTTTTCTTGTGGGGCTAGGGGACATATAGCTAAATTCTGTAAGAAGAGAAAACAACAGAATACTGGTAATCACCAGAAGGCTAAGAAGAATGTTAGTTTAGTTATGTCTAGCAATTCAACTGTAAACCATGATTTGTGGGTTGTTGATAGTGGAGCATCACAATGCATTACTAAAGATAGAAACAGGTTTGTAAAGATGTCCACGAGTAAACACCATGTATCATTGTCAAATGGATGGAAGATTAAAGCATCAGGTGAAGGTACTGCATGTTAGGGATAACATTGTTTACCTAACTTAGTTTGAGTAAAATAATATATAAACTATGTTAGTGAGTTTAAGCGTATGTATCACTTTAAACTGTAAACCAAGTTTTTGGGTGCGGTTGTAAAATCACCATAAGAGGGAGCAAGAGAGCTCACTGTTTCCCTGGCTTATACTGGAATGCTGACAATGATGAATTGATGGTGATAACTGCGTGTTTGCTGAGAGAAGAAAAGGGGTTTGATTTTTCTTCATATCTCTGACTGCAAAAGAGATATATCACTGGACTGATTGATTGTAAGTTTAATGAACTCTTCTTCGACACTGGACTTTGCAAACTGAATAACCCCTGGACTGACTGAACTTAGTGTATGACATATGGACTTTTGACTATGCTATAACTCTTGCTGGAATAAAAACTATTTAACTTGCACAGTGTATCTGTCTTACTGAGTGTAAGCTACTACAACGTTATTATCTTACATATCTGCCTGTCTGCTAGACTGCCGTTGCACGTTCTGCTAGGGTGTATATCCCTAACACTGCATATTGTTTTTGTATAAACGAACATTTAACTATGTTATATGTACCTAAACTGAAATTTAATTTATTATCAGTAAGGGCTTTAGTTAATCTTGGTTATGTAGTAATCTTTAGCGGAGATAACTGTATAATAGAGAAAGAGGATAAAAGTGTTGCTGCTACTTTAAAAAATGATTTATATGTAATACATGATTACCAGTTGAAGATGGCTAACTCAGTTTATAACCATGTTAAGCCACATGATGAATGTATACATTTACTACATAGACATCTAGGGCACATTAATTTCATAATGCTCAAACAAACTGTTGAATTGTCAGAGGGAGTACAATTGAAACCCTGTAGCAAGTATTTAAACTGTAATGCTTGTAGCCAAGAGAAGAGTAAGGTTACTCCTGCAAACAGACTAAATGGGTTTAAGACCAAAGAATCTTTAGAGGTTGTTTTTGCTGACATAATTGGTCCTAGGAAACCAAGTTTAGGAGGTGCCTGTTATATTTTGAGTATTATGGACCATTACTCATGGTACGGCTTCTGTTATCTTATGAAAAACAAAACAGAAACATTCCAACATTTCTTTAACTGGCTAAGGTTTGCTGAGAGAAAAATGAAAAGTAAGGTAATTACTTTAGTTACTGATAACGGGACTGAGTTTTACAAAAGATTCCAAAATACGTTAAAATTGGCTGGTGTTGAGCATAAACGTTCTGCACCTTACAGACCACAACACAACTCGTTTATAGAACGAAGAGGGCAAACATTACAAGCCATGGCTCGCAGTATGTTATCTGATTCAGGGTTACCTGAAACACTGTTGGGTTAGGCCATAATGTGTAGTAACCATGTGTTAAACAATGTAGTTAATACAACAACTGGAGAATTGCCATTCACTCGTTGGCATGGCAGAAAACCAAATTTAAGTTACCTACACACATTTGGAGCTCCAGCATGGGTGCATATTCCCTCACAAGTAAGACTGAAAGGGCAACATAGGGCTAAAATATTATTTTTTGTAGGTTACGAAGCCAACCATAGATTGTTTAGATTTTGGGATCAAGGCACAGCTCATGTTTATTGTAGTGCTAGTGCAAAATTTCTTGAGCACATTGCGTGGGATAAACTGGAACAGGAATCCAGCAATGATATTATTATTGACACCCAAATACTCCCTAAAGATGAAATAAGTAAACCACAAATAGCCATTAAAGAGGAAGAACAGGAGGAAGTAGGAGAACAGGTACAGGAAGAAGTAGGAGAACAGGAGCAGGTGGCACAAGAAAGTTCACCAGTTAGGTCTGTATTACCAAGACGTTCAACCCGAGTTACACGACCACCTGATAGATATCAGGCTAGTGTTGTATGCCAAGTGAGTACAGTTCCAAGTAATTATAGTGAACTAAAACTGTATTCTGCTAAGGATCAGGCTGCTTGGCAGAAAGCAATGGATAAGGAACTGGAATCATTAAAAAGACTGGAGGTATATGAAAATGTTAAGTTACCACCAGGTAAACATGCCATAGGATGTAAATGGGTTTATAAACTGAAGACAGGTGTAGATGGGACTGTTACCCATAAAGCCAGATTAGTAGCACAAGGGTTCAATCAGACAGCAAATGACTACGATGAGGTGTTTGCGCCTTGTCTGAAGGCTACTACATTAAGGGCAGCATTAGTGTGGGCAGCTAAGGAGAAATACATTGTAAATCATTTGGATGTAGAGACTGCATATCTGCATGCACCGTTGCAAGACACTATTTATTTAAAGAAACCTTTAGGTATCAAAAATGATAATACAACTGATTGCTGGAGATTGAAAAAAAAGTCTTTATGGCTTGAAGCAATCAGGATATGAGTGGAATCAATGTATAGTTAAAGAATTAACTAAGATAGGTTTTGGAGCTGGTATGGCTAATCCATGTTTGTTTAAAAGAGAAAGTAATGGTGTAATTTCATTATTGCTATTATTTACTGATGACATAGCATTAATCACCAAAACTGAACAAGAAGCTGCTAAAATAATCTCACTGTTAGAAAAGAAATTTAAGATAAAACAGTTAGGAGAAATCAAACAATATCTTGGATTAAAGATAGATAGAACTAGGGGAGGATACAAGATCTCACAGGCAGAGAAATTTAACCAATTACTAAAAAGTTTTAAAATGGAACTTTGTAAACTGGCTAAGACACCAATGAGCCAGGAGTTTAGCCATAGTGATGTTCAAAGTCCTATTTTTGATAAGAACATTTATCAGTCCTTGATTGGAAGTTTATCGTATCTCAGTAATTGGTCAAGGCCAGATATCACATACAGTGTTAATCAATTAGCGAGATTTAACGCTGAGCCGACTGAAAGGCACTGGCAAGCTGCTAAACGTGTGTTAAGATACCTGAAACAAACAATGCATTATTCATTGTATTTGGAGCCATAAGATGAACTGAATTTGACTGCATATGCTGATGCAAGTTTTGCTACAGACATAAATACACGAAAATCTACATCAGGAACTGTAGTATTATTGGGAAAGGCGTTGATTGGATGGAGATCTATTTGGTAGAAATATCTAAGTTTGTCAACAATGGAGGCTGAATTCTCATGTTTGTCTTTGTTGTGTATAAATTTAGTTTTGTATAAGCAATTATTGATTGACATGGGAATTGATGTAACAGATTCTATTGTAGTTTATGAAGATAATCAATCAGCAATACAGATGGCTTCAAATATTGCTGTTAAAACAAGAACGAAACACACAGATTTAAGATATTTAAATGTGAGACAATGTGTACAAAGTAAGATGATTAAGCTGGAATACTGTATGTCAGAAAACAATATAGCAGATCATTTTACAAAGGCCCAAGGCTCTATAAAGCATAAGGCATGCTGTGAAGATTATGGACTTAGAATGTAAGGTTGTATATATTGTCCTACCCAAAAGGGGAGAATGTTAGGAATGTAAGTCACCTAACAGTTATTTGAGTTGGACAATATATAAACCAGGATAGATATTTTAAAACTGTATCTTTCAGAAAATGCTAAATTGTAATTGGGGGTGGTTTCTCAAACAGCCATAAGATGGAGGCAGAAACCTGGGTTGTTTAGTCTTAGTCTCAGAAGAGAGTGTGTCTCAGTGAATCTCTGTTTCCTTCTGTTGGAGAGTTTTACCGTTCTTCCTAATTGACTGCTATTCCTGGATTTGATGTAAGTCTGATACTGAACTGTTTTTGACACTGGACTTTGTTATTGGATTATTCCTGGACTGAAAACTGACTGATTTAACCTATGAATGACTTTGGATTGCTTGTTTGGACTTTGCATAAACCTTTATTGAAAGTAAAAACCTACATTTACTATACAGTGTATCTGTGTGCTGTGTGTGTATTATTCAAACGCTACTCTCAATACGTCTCCCTGTGTGTGCTCATTCTCCTAATGGGGAATTACCTCAACACCACCAATGAAAGATACTGTAAAATCTCCAATCTCTCCCCATCCCATTAACCTGCTTTCTAGCTCTGTTCTCCTGTGAAGGGCAACAAAAGAAGAACCAGTCGATCAGCTTGGATTCAGGAGGCAGAGAATAGATGGGAGCGGGGCCTGTAAGAGGTGGTATTTGCCAGTTCTCTGAACTATTCAAAATTTCTGCTACCAATTCCCCAAAACTGGTCAGAACTGCTAAATACCACCTCTGCTCACATCTCTCTATCTGTATTTACCTACTTATAAAATGTATGAGTCAGCCATCTTATCACAGGGTAGTGTTCAATTCAGAGCCAGAGCAGGTGTTTTATTAGTGTCACTGAGACCGAGGAGTTGTGATCATTGCTTTTTTGGAAAAGAGTTTAATGCCAGATACAAACTTTTCTTCCAGTATAAGTAGCAAGCAAACCAAGGATTTCAGTTTCCATCTTCATTTTGGGTGAGTGTCTAGGTGGTTGCCTCACTTGCTGTAGCAACAAAGTTATGTCATCATAGAGCCTCTATAGCACACAAAATTGCAATATTTCAAGGACACAGTTTGCAATAACCATTTCTACATTTAACCTTGCATTAAGAAGAAACTGTTGATGATTCTTGAGTAACCTTGAACGACTGTTTGTAGAAAGAATATAGCTGAACAATGAATGTGAAACTTCATCATAACTTCTATTCTTTCTCTAGGGGCTATCTATTACGACTTTTCTGGCATATTTCCACCACATTTTTTGGCTGCATGAACTGCCATCCAATCATACACTGATCATCCTGATTGATTAATTGTAAGGTTTGTGTTGACTGTTAACACCTGTATTGATAGATTTTCACCATGACAATTTGTGCCAAACTTGATCCTTGAGCTCTTCCAATAGTGCATCATCACTACGGTACTTGAATCCATCTATGTTGTAGTTGGTTGTCCACTTCATCACCTTTCCCAGCATTAACTTTTTCCAGAGAAATAGGCTGCATGTAATGTGTCCAAGCAGGATAATTTGAGTATATATACAGGTCTCTTTAAAATTTACATTTTTATGGCAGAAAAGAAAACCAATAGACTATTTATAAAATGTTCCTGAAATCTATAGCATACTACAGTGGCATCGCAATAAAGGTACTCATTTAGCCATGTCAAGTCCATGACTATTTTGCATAGTTGGCCAATAGGTGCTGAGTATATGGGGAGCTTACATTATGCTATGTTTGTATGAAGCCTGATCAGGATGCAAAATGCATAGAGGCCCCAAGCCTTTCTGGCAACACCATCCTGTGGAAATTGCAATAGACTCTTGCAGTTTCTATGGGGATGCTTTGGGTTTAGTTCTTGGGTTGAGAGTGTAACACAGAACCTTGTAGCAATTTGGGTGAGAGCTATGTGTTTTTCTAAGTTGGGTTAGGGTTAGGGTGATTCACTAAGAGGTGCTGGACTTGAGAATAGAAATATTGGGATGAAAAAAGTGGTGTCCTAGGCTGGGGTCATCAACCTTTTGGACCTCAGGGACCACCAAACTTATAATTTTAAATCCAAGGACCAGAGACCCTGGGAAAATCCCCCAAAAAGTCTGCAGGAAAATTCCTCCCCCCATTTTCCTACCGATAGATCATTCTTTATTTGGGATCGCAGGATACCATCTCCAGCTCTGTTCTCAGGGGTAGAAAAATGGAGACTTTCCTTCATGCAAGGAAATCAGCAAAAACAGCAGTCTTTCTTTCTCTCCCCCAAAATCTACCAGAAATGAGTCTTTGTGAGACTTGTCATGCCGGCACAGCCTCTTGCAATAGGATGCCTTGCAGGGTCCCAAAGACTCATTTCTGGTGGAGTTTGGGGGAGAGAAAGAAAGACTTTTGCTGCTTTCCTTGCATGCAGCCCAAAGCAGAAGAAGAAAGAAGTGTAAAGAAGCAGCTTGGTGGCCAGGTGAGGCATGTGGGGCGAGTGGGGCAAGTTCCTCCCCTCCTCCCTTTCCCCCTCACTACCTCATGTTGTTTGCAATGCAAGCGATCCAAACCTTGTGTTCCTGTGCAGCCTGGATTAATTGCTTTGGGGGGGTGCTTCAGTGGTGACATTTCTTTGCGGACCAACAAAATTTTCTTGTGGACTACCAGTGGTCCCTGTTTGGGACCACTGTCCTAGGCTATTCGCTAACAACTTCTTTTCTTTCTCCTAGGGGCTATCTATTCTGCCTTTTCTGGCATATTTGCACCACATTTTTTGTCTGCAGGAACTGCCATCCAATCATACACTGATCAACCTGATTGATTAGTTATGTGTCATAAAGTTGGTGTTGACTGTTAGCACCTGTATAGATAGATTTTCACCATGACAATTTGTGCTAGACTTGATCCTTGAGCTCTTCCAACAGTGCATCATCACTACTGTACTTGAATCCATCTATGTTGTAGTTGGTTGTCCATCTCATTCCTTCCACATTTCCCAGCATTAGAACTTTTCCCACAGAACTAGGCTGCATGTAATGTGTCCAAGCAGGATAATTTCAGTATATATACGGGTCTCTTTAAAATTTACATTTTTGTGGCAGAAAAGAATACCAACGGACTATTTATCAAATGTTCCTGAGATCTATAGCATACTACAGTGGCATCTCAATAAAGGTACTCATTTAGCCATGTCAAGTCCATGACTATTTTGCATAGTTGGCCAATAGGTGCTGAGTATATGGGAAGCTTATATTATGCTATATTTGTATGAAGCCTGATTAGGATGCAAAATGTATCAAAATGTATCAAAATGGTCAAACAAATGGCAACTTCAAATCTCAACAAATAAATACTCTGTCTTACATATTGGCAAAAAAAATATCAGAAAATAAAATACAGGCTGAATAGTCAAGACCTTGTTGGTGATCCAAACTCTGTCAAGGACTTTGGAATACTCATCTCTAATGATCTAAATGCTAGAGCCCACTGTAACTACATAGCCAAAAAGGCATTAAGAATTGTTAACCTAATCCTATGTAGCTTTTCCTCTGGTAATATCACACTATTAACCAGAGCATACAAAACATTTGCTAGACCAATACTTGAATATAGCTCATCAGTCTGGAACCCACATTATGTATCTGATATTAACACAGTTGAGAAAGTCCAGAAATATTTCAGGAAGAGTTCTCCATTCCTCTACTCGTTGCAGAATACCTTATGCCACCAGACTCGAAATTCTAGATCTAGAAAACCTGGAACTACGCTGCCTTTGGTCCGATCTAAGTATAGTATATAAAATCACACATTGCAATGTCCCACCTGTCAATGAATACTTCAGCTTCAACCATAACAATACAAGAGCACACAATAGATACAAACTCATGGTTAACTGCACCAAACTTGATTGCAGGAAATACGACTTCAGAAACAGAGTGGTCAATGTCTGGAATACTCTACCTGACTGTGGTTTCTTCCCCAAACCTCAAAAACTTTAACCTGAGACTGTCTACTATTGACCTCACCCCTTTCCTAAGAGGTCTGTAGGAGGCATGCATAAGCACACCAACATGCCTACCGTCCCTGTCCTATTGTTTCTTTTATTTTTCTTATATGTATCCATGTATTCATAACTATGTTTTTATTTATACCTATTATCTTGTAAGCAATTAACAAATAAAATAAAATAAAATAAAATGGATAGAGGCCAAGCCTTTCTGGCAACACCATCCTGTGGAAATTGCAATAGATTTCTGCAGTTTCTATGGGGATGCTTTGGGTTTAGTTTTTGGGAGTGCAACACAGTACTTTGTAGCAATTTGAATGAGGGCTATGTATTTTTCAAAGGGGTTAGGGTGAGGGTGACTCACTAAGAGGTGCTGGACTTGAGAATAGAAATATTGGGATGAAAAATGAGGTATCCTAGGCCAGGGGTCACCAACTTTTGGACCTCAGGGACCACCAAACTTATAATTTTAAATCCCGCAGACCAGAGATCCTGGGAAAATCCCCAAAAATGTCTGCCGGAAAATTCCTCACCCCATTTTCCTACCGATAGATCATTCTTTATTTGGGATCGCAGGATACCATCTCCAGCTCTGTTCTCAGGGGTAGGGAAACGGAGACTTTTGGCTTCATGCAAGGAAAGCAGCAAAAGCAACAGAAGTCTTTCTTTCTCTCCCCCAAAATCTGCCAGAAATGAGTCTTTGTGAGACTTGTCATGCCG